GGTCTACATTGCATGCTGATGCGGCGCTGCCACTGGTCTACATTGCTGATGTGGCGCTGCCTCTGGTCTACATTGCATGCTGATGTGGCGCTGCCTCTGGTCTACATTGCATGCAGATGTGGCGCATGCCACTGGTCTACATTGCTGATTTGGTGCTGCCTCTGGTCTACATTGCATGCTGATGTGGCGCTGCCACTGGTCTACATTGCTGATGTGGCGCATGCCACTGGTCTACATTACTAATGTGGCGCCTGCCACTGGTCTTCATTGATGATGTGGCGCATGCCACCTGTCTCGACTGCTGACGTGGCATTATCCACACTGTCTACATGAAGTGACTGGTTGCGAGGTGGAGGGAGATCGGGATCTGTGGATGATTGGGATCGGGTACTCACCTGAGGTTGACGTCGTCACTGTATTTTGTTGTGTCTTCATGGTCTTCACGAGATAAGAGAGTGCCACGTGGCACTACTGTGTGATCAGAATTATCATACTTGTTATCATATACTGGTTAATGACGTGGAGAGGGAAGACGCCCGGAGAAGAAGTGGGGTTTGATGATGGGATTACTCTTGTGTGATCATTGATCATCTCTTCCACCTTCTCCTCTGTCTATTCCCCCTCCACTCTCTTCGTCTAATGGTAATGAGATATTGTATCAGATATCACTTCACGATAATTGGGGACTTTGCTGCAGATACCGAGACTACCTTGACGACTGATGAGTATCTGCCAGACTGTGTTCCTTACACAGTACCTTTCCCAGGTATTTTCAGAGATGGGGCTTGTTAATGGCCGCAACTTTCGGAGCCGGGCTGCTGTTGATAAATTTCATCGCCGGTCATTATCATGTTTCAGGCCTCTGAAAAATCCTGGGCAGTGGCCCACGGCCAATGTGTGGGCGAGGTACTGGTGGTTTAAGGGAATTCAAAGTGTTTTCGCCCAAGTCCTATGTGATCACAGCATAGCCAACAGCCTAAGGAGCAGGCTCCTCTGCCGCTATGTTCCTGGCTGGAACGCACAAGTCTTAAAATAAAATTGGGAGCAATCGCGGCGAGGTTCTTAATTTCCTGGCATCGGGTTTTTCTCTTAAAAAAAAAAAAGAAAAAAAAAGAAAAAAAAAAAAAAAGAAAAGGTAGCACCCGTGCCGCCTGGGACACGGTTCCAATAGCACACGAGTCATGGCCTAGTAGGACCTGTGCGGCACTGTACAAAAAGGAAGAAAAGTAATTTTAAAGACTTAAAAAAAACAAAATGGCGACATCACATTTCCCAAGATGGGAAGGAGGCCGACTTTTGAAAGTGCTGCCGTCCCACTAACCCTCCCGTCTCCTCCCCCTGCTCCCCACCCAGCGAATGCCTAATCAGGACAGAGTGGTACGTACCCAGCCAATGCCTAATCAGGACAGAGTGGTACGTGACCGTTGCAGTCTCGTGTACCACCGCGAGGGAGTCCCTTCGTGTGCCTGATGGGACTCCCTTCTCCGACGGTTGCCATGCTGAAGCGTGCAGTTCATATATTTTGAGAGAAAAATCAAGTACTGGATGGGGTTACAATTGACCAGGAAAAAGAAGGGGGTCAAAACCATGCCCTTTGAGTACTTGATTTTTTGAAGAGCTGACAATCAAAATGAGTCTTTCTATTTTCTTTTCCCGCCTCCCATTCTTGGGAACTGAAAAGAAAAAGCACAAAACCAAAAAAAAAAAACACCACTTCAGAATATAATAAATCCATCGCAATTTTTCTGCCATCGGATTCTCCTGCATCAGTGGTGGGACGATGTCTCGCAGATGTCCCATAGGTGTTTGTGGGACACAGTTAACCTTACTCCTTTGCTAGTGGAACCGTGCTCCTGGCGAAGATTATTCAACACTCCTCTCTTTTTTTTTTTCCTTTTCAAACAGAAAGCTCCGATCTCTATCGGTGGGGAGAAGCACGGGTCCAGCGTCCCATTATAGATCACAAAAACAGAGTTTGACCTGCCAGCATTGATGGCCCTTGTTACCAACACTCTTTTTTCTTTTCTTTTTTTCTTTTTTTCTTTTTTTTTTGTTTTGTATTAAGGGAAAGTCTTGTGTTCGCTGACTGACCTATCTGACCACATCGCACATATCCAACAGCCTAAGGAAGCAGGCTGCACTGCTGCTATGTCCATGAATGGAAATCAGGAATCTGGCAGGAAAATAGCGGCCAGGTTCATGCTTCCATAGCATGAAGATAGCACAAGTGGGGCCTAACCTTTCCCAGATTCAGCAGCATATCTTGCTCAGGTGTGTTTAATGAAAAGACTCGTGTACGATGACCTTTTGCGACCACACAGCATATCCAACAGCCTAAGGACCATGCTCCCCCGCTGCTATGTTGATGCTTGGAAAGTAGTAATCTGGCTGTAATAGCGGCCAGGTTCATGCTTTCCTGGCATGAATGAAGCACCAGTTAGGCCTGGCCCAAAGCTTTTCAAGATTCAACACCCTATCTTTGCTCAACTGTAAAAAAAAAAACCATCAGTACCTGGAGGCTTCCTTTTGCCGACGCGGATCCCCTCCTTCCCCCCCCTTGCGAGCCAAAAAAAAAGATGAACAAACCAGCGCCATTTCTTTTTTGGCTGGCGCCATCAGGCATTTTGCTCCGGCAGGCCATGCCCCGAAAGTCGCGCCGCATGCACGGCTTCACCGCAGAAGAACAACAGCTGGGAAAGGTACTAGTGGTTCTTTGCCGCGGCCGATCGTATCTTTTTGTATGTGTTATCCCCCAGAGCATGAATAGTCAATGGGAACCACAACAAAGAGAAAGCTGACGTAGATAGTGCTAAAGCCCTCCCAAACAAAG